ACAACTAGAGACAGCAGTGTGCAAGCTGGTATGGACAAAAGCAAAGTCGTAGGCAGTACGCAGGAGTGCGTTGACCTACCTCCCGGAAGGGCACATAATTCATCGACACACAGCGGAGGGGTACTTGGTCGTACGGTGACAAATCCATAACTAGGGAGTCGAAGAAGGGATTGACTTAATTTGTAGTGCAGCAGTAAATAGCGAACTGAAAGCTGGACAGGCCACACGAGGAACGGAGTGACCTTACTATAACTGAATGACTAACGAGGACCGTCAGGATTACAAAAAGGACATGACATTGGATCAAGTCCACAGCAAGAGTGACTTGTATGCCCGCCTAAAAAGGACACGGGAGTAGGAAAGCCCCACACACTTGAATTAGAGGGCCTTGGGATAAATTTCAGGAAGGGTAAGTATTTCCGTGTCTTAACCGTATCATAAAAATAAACTCTAATCTTAACCCTAGCTATATCCTAGTCCCTACAGTTGAGATGAACGCAAGCTGTAACCCATTACATAATCCTGACTCTAAACCTTCATCTTGATTATAAATCTAATTTCCCTGCATTACGGGAGGTTCCTATTTCCGTATCTTGTTCAGGCAGCCATACAAGTCAGGCCTACTAGGTTCCCTGAGCGGAGGATGAAAGATATACTTGCGGTTCATCCGAGGGGATAAGACTGACAAGAGGAATTGCGATTTACACGAGGGGTGCAGTCAAAACAAAAAACAGCCCTAGGAATACGTGATTAGCGCAAATGACAGGCAGGAATGGAGCTCTTTAGTCCTGCCTTGTCCTACCAAATTTCCACCTCTTAACAGTGTCTCCAGCTCCTTTCCCACCGAACGTGAGTGCATCCATGATGTCTTCTGACATCTGGGAAGGATGAAATATGCACCCTAAAGAGGTTACTTGGCGCGTTGTAAGAGGATGAAAAGCTATTCATGCAAGGTGGTCTACAAGACGGAAGATACCGTAGATTTCCTATCTCATGAAATGTCAAACGAAGTTCTGAAATGTGTTTTCAATTCGAACAATTACTCAAGCGGGGTTATAAAGGTTGATTATCTTACCACTTAATCTCAGGATACGTCAGTCACGTCAGGATGGCAGCTTTTGACCGGGCTTTTTTCTGACTGCCTGCAACAGGTATACTCGTACAAAATGTCCACGTAAGTATTATGCATTTTTCTCATTGATTTTCTATGTCCTTATAAATTTAAAATTAGCTTGTACAAAACCTGCATAAAAAATTTCTTCTTGTACTCCACTGTTGGTTATTCACGCTTTTTTTCAATTTTTGTGCTTGAAGAAAGGGTATCCTTCGGTTTAAAAAAAGTTTCTAAATTGCTGAATAATTATGAAACCTATCTACACTTGAATTCAAGGTGTCCAAACTACACGGTTTATACATTCTTTCTGGGAAAAAGTACACATTTCCCTACGGTATGAGTAAGAGGGCACATAGTTCTCATCAAATTTTGCCCCAGATGCGGATCTTGCTACATACTTTACAGACAATATTACTAAATTGACGGATATGATGTATCATAAATGAACATTTTACGATGGTAGAAAAACTCATGATTAGAAACATTTTTTTAAACGGAGAGATATTCTTTCTATAAGTACAAAATTTTAAAAAAGCGTGATTTGCTAGCAAGAGAGTACAGGAAGGAATACGTTTTGTGCAGACTTTCTATTAAATATATGTACCTTTATAAGTGCTGTTAAAAGCAGTAAGAGAAATGCATAATACTTAGGTAGCCTGTTTTTTTTACAGATGATACCTTTTGCAGGCAGTCAGAAAGAAGCCCGCTCAAAAGCTGGTATCCTGATGTAACTGACGTATCTTCAAATTAGGCTGCATGATAATCATTATCACGTGTAACTTGTTCGAATCGAAAAAGCCTTTCAGAATTTCGGTTGACATTTCATGAGACAGGGAAACTGCTGTATCGTGCACAACGAAAAGGTTGTGGGAAGGCCTCACTCGGTCAGGCCTGACTGAATAGCTAGAGACAGACAGCCAGAGGTAGGTAAATACAACTGCACAGTTGGGTGGCCTCGCTGGTTGTGGCGGCGAACAGAAGGAGCGAAATGCGGAAAGTGTACAACAA